AAGGAAGGAAGGAAGGAAGGAAGGAAGGAAGGAAGGAAGGAAGGAAGACGGGCCTAAGAGGACTAGTTTTGGCCATAGAGCTAGAGAGACAGTGTGCTAATGCTTATAATTTGCCACCCATGAATAGATCTTTTCATGTGTAAAGCTTATTAATAAAGTTCATTGATATCAAACCACACAGCGCCTCTGCTGTTAGGAGCCCCTGCCGGGATTCAAATATATAAGAGACGCTTCTCGCATTAAGTAAGAAGTCCCTTATTTCACACCAATATTTTAATTTTCCACTGTGCTATTGGTACTTTTGTCAAATCATATTATCAACCTCTGGCTGGCAGGACAATCTTTCTGGAAAAATGGCTTAGGATTCAAGAACATCCCAAAGGTGCTTTTTGCAAAAGACAACTGGACTTTCTCGTTTTTTTTTCCTTTGAAAATGTTTTGCTTCTCATTCAAGAAGCTTCTTCAGTTCTTGAAGAAACTGCTTCTTGGGTGAGAAGTGAAACATTTTCAAAGGAAAAAAAACAAACAGGAAGCCCAGTTGCCTTTTGGAAAAAGCACCTTTGGGACAACCATGACCTGGTTGACTAAGAATCTCTATAGATTCAAGAGAAGATATTTATTCATTTCTTGGAGAAGACAGAGAAATAAATGGAAAAGGAAAAAGTGAAAGGAATTGAGATGAAGTAGAAATCTTGCTTGAAAAAGCATGAGATGGTTTAACAGAAATTAATTAATGGGAAATTGACAAACAAATTTTAAAAAATGTGGCAACTGCTCAGAACAGAGTAAAAAAAGATTACGTTACAGAATATCACAAGAGAGTGAAATTGTTGTAATGGGAGGCTGGAAAAAGGCTTTTCAATTGAGTGATGAAGTGAAAGAAACTACGGGTGAGAAAAATACAAAAAAACAGATTGACAGCTGAAAAAAAATTGAAGATGAACAAATTATTGTATAATGTAAGCCGGGGTGGCAAACTCAATTTCATTGAGGACTGCATCAGTGGAGGACACATTTTAGGGACCTAAATAGGGACATAATAGTGATATGCCGAAGAGGGAAAAACTGAAACATATAAACCAGAAGAACTCAAGATTGTGTAACCAGAAAACTTAAAATAACGGTTAAGCTTATGGAAAGTGGACAAAGGCAACATCTGGCTGAGCCTGATCGTAAAGCAATCTTGTTCCCTTCTATAAAACAAAAAAGAACAGGAGCGAACTCTTAAAACTGAAGGGAGATTAGTTTGCTAAGTTCATTTGAGAAGGTTGTTTGGGATACATCTATCAAAAGGATATAAGAAGTGACAGCGAGCAGGTATGGGCTGGCCAGTTTTGGGAAAACTGGAAAGCAGAAGTGCCAAATAACCCTGCCTTGATTCTGTTTGTCACAAGAAGAGGCAGAGAGGAATTTTGAGAAGATTTCAAGATTGATGTTGGGATAGGCCAGGCCAGGAAACATGCACAGCAAGAGAATCCAGGAATGTTCCTTTATTTTTGAAGGTATACTAAATCTTGGAAAGCCCTTGAGTTTTTCTCTACTCTGGTTTCTTTTTATCAAATAAAAACAAAGCCATGTTATTTTGAGGTGTCCCCCCCCCCCATACTTTTCCACTTTCCATGGTGGATTTGCTGTTTCTCCTTCCTTAATGGTTAATCTATTCCTTCACCAAGCTCATCTTACGTCCCTTTACAGATACCAAACTGTCAGCATTGCAAGGCCAAGGAGAATGACCAGATCTGCGAAACCTTATAATACTGACATCCTAAATTGTAATTAATATTGATAGAATACATCTTATTTGCAATGGTGTAAGTTATCTAAACAATAGCGTGTCAAAAAATCTTTAGTGAATACTGTATAAAATATCATTGTACTGAAACAATGTCATATACTGGTAGTCCTCAATTTAGGACCACAATTGAGCTCAACATTTATGTTGCAAAACGAGACATTTGTTAAGTGAGTTTTGCCCCAATTTATAACCTTTCTTGTTACAGTTGTTAAGTGAGTCATTGCAGTTAAATTAGTATCACGGTTGCTAAACGAATCTGGCTTCACATTAATTCTGCTTAAGGTCACAAAAGGTGATCCCATGACCCCAGGTCACTGCAAGCGTCACAAATACGAGCCAGTTACCAAGCACCTGAACTTTGATCACATCAACATGGGGATGTTGCAATGATTTTAAGTGTGAAAAACGGCCATAAGTCAATTTTTTTAGTGCCATTGTTAACTTCAGTCGCTAAATGAACTGTTGTAAGTCAAGGACTACCTGCACTAAGATTTACATAAATTTATTTTGCCTTTTAATGACCCCGTAATCCCTTGCATTGGGGTGGAGTCAGGGCAACTCAATGGAGCTGAGTGTTTATTGGCCGGATGCCCTTCCTGTCGCCAATGCAGAGTCCACAGCAGATACATACTCATGGAGCCCAGAGAGGGAAATATCTGCTGCTACCTAAGATCAAACTCACAGCCTCCTGTTTGTGAGGTGAGAGCTCCACCTCTAGACCACTGCACCACTCATTTACACAAACTTATATGATAAACACATAATAAGAAAGGGAAAAAAGAGAGAGAGAAAGAAGGACAATCTTTATGCAGCAGAAAGTAGAATACGAAAAAATTATTTGCTGTTTTCTCACGGTCGTGGCTGACCAAATTCTTTAAAAAAATTGGCAGCCCCAGTGACAAGCCACTTCTGCATCACCCTAATACTTCAAGCAGGGGCGACACTCCTACTTATTCAGGGGGATAACTGGATACTTACAGCTGTCTTCCTCCTCCATAAACATTTTGCTGACATAGCAGGCGTAAACAAATCCGAATAGCTTCAAAGTACATGTTTGGAAAAAGAGAGAGACACGAATTAATGATTTGAAAGCAAAGAAAGGTACCGATTATTATCACATCAGAATCCAACCATTTAAACTGATGAGGGAAAACCTCGGGCAGCCAAGTTCATTTCTTCCATTTACAACTCCGCTGCTGTCTCGAACAACTCTTGACCATGCTGATCCTTTAGGTCCAAAATTGGAAACAAGAGCAAAACCAAACGGGTGAGGTGGGCTGATTAATTTAAAAGTCTCAAAGAAATAAGCAAACTGTCAGACTCGACATAATCGCTTATTGCCCTTGGAATAAAAAGCAAAAGTAAAAGTAAAGTTGCAAAGGGAAGGAGGAAAAGGAACTTTTAGAAATTTACCTGGAAGTAGTTCTGACTAATCTTTGTCATTAGGGTTCATTTAACAAACGAATTGTCAAGCTTCGAAGTGTATTTAGGTTGCTTTCAGTTTTACAGCTTCTCAGCTTGCCAACAAACTATGGGGAGAAGTGAGGGAGCAAATGCTCTCAGTCAGGGGTGGGATTCAAATTTTTTAACAACCGATTCCGTGGGCATGGCTTAGTTGGTGGGCATGGCTTGGTGATCATGTGACTGGCTGGGCGTGGTCAACTCAACATCACTCACATCGAGGCACGCATCTCCTCGCCTGGCCTCTCATGACTGGGATGCTGCAACAGTCGTAAGTGTGAAAAATGGTCATAAGTCACTTTTTTCAGTACCATTGTAAGTTTGAATGGTCACTCCACACAAGCAAAGTACCAGCAAAGGAGGGGGGAAAACTCCAGAGAGGTTCCTGAGACAGGAAGTCTAGTCCTGCCAAGAATGTAATAAGGGTTAATGGAGAGGCAGTTTCTGCAAGCAACACCAGAATGTTTCCTTCCTGCCTTCCTTGCAGGATTAGGCCAGTAATTTCTTCTAACAACTGGTTCTCCGAACTGCTTAGAATGTTAACAACCGGTTCTAGCGAATAGGTGCAAACTGGTAGAATCCCACCCCTGCTCTCAGTAAACATAAAAGAAAAGACTCTTGGCGAATGTATCTGCCAAGAGTCAAGAATCATAAGGTACCTCACTTAATGATAGTCACAGGGTACAATAAGGAATCAAATCACACCAGGAAACAGTCAATATAAATTGTAAGGATACAAGCAACAAAATTACAGTCATCCAGTCACAAGTGGGAGGGGATGGGCGATAAGGAGTGATGAGAAGATTCACAGTAATAGTAATGCTGACTTTGTAAATAGTTGGACAGTGTTGAGGGAATTATTTATTTAGTAGAGTGATGGCGTTTGGGAAAAAACGGTCCTTGTGTCTAGTTGTTCTGGTGTGCAGTGCTCTATAGCCTTGTTTTGAGGATAGGAGTAGAAACAGTTTATGTCCGGGATGTGAGGGGTCTGTAAATATTTTCACAGCCCTCTTTTTGACTTGTGCAGTATACACGGAAACCTTTAGTCTTACAATGAAGTAGAATTAGCTCATCTGGTTGTGTTCCCTGTCTAAGGCCGGCATCAGTCTTGTAATTCTCTCTATTCAGGATGGCTTTTTCATTCTCCCTCCTTCAGTTCCTTCAGCTTAATGTGCCACTCTAGTCGTAAATGACTCTGAGCAGCATATGTAACCCAATGCAGTATTCTGATTAAAAACAAATACCTAAGAAATGTATACCAAAATACCCCACAGGCAATGCTAACAGGACTCCTAGACAACATTACACACTAGAGGAGAGATCAAATAGAGCGTTTTTGATCCCAGAGCCATGCTGGACATGTCAGCTTTTAATAGCGTTTCAAAAAGGGTAAGGGCCGATGTAAACTTCAGAGGGAAGGTTGTTTCAAGAGAAGACAATGACTGACACAGGGATATTGACTGACAATGACTGACAGAGGGATATTGGAGATACAAAATGTCAGCTTCCCATTTACCTTTTTTTTTTAAATTAAAATATCTGCTTTTTTTATTTAAAAAATGGTAGAAACAAAGGGAGGGGAACCTGATGTCCATATTGGATAGATACTGCGTATATTTTTGCGGATCAAATGGGAATCAGGAGTCAATTTTTGTTCAAACGGGTATGAGTTCTGCAGCAAAAACTAACCATAGAAATCTTTTAGCGCCTCAGTTTTTTTCCGTTTTGTTTTTAGAAGTAAGGGAGAGGCCAAACCAACCAAGAAAAGATACCAATACCCCTTACTTACCGCAAGGAATATCTGCATTGCACTGCTCACCACCTCAATGTATTGATAATCAAGCAAGCATCCAGTTACTGTGATGACGTGATGGTCTTCTAAGGCCAGGTTGGAGTTGATCACGGGGGTTACCAGGCAACCAGGACCATTCTCCATCCACCACGAGCGATGCAATGATGTGTTAAAGGTCATGATGAAGTCTCGATCCTATAGAAATGGGAGAAAGATGAATTCAACAGGAATGTTTGGACCACTAGAAAGATAGAGAATATATATACATACTCACAATCCCTTTGAGGTAAGCCATGCTATGCAAAGAGAAGACAAACGGTCATCAGAAGCAATGACATCCAGGGTGATGACCCGGGGCATGGCACAAAGGCAACACAGTCAGATAGTAAGTAGAAGTCCCTTTATTAGCTCCAAATTTGCCCCCAATGTCCTGGTTACCTTCTGGCTGGAGAAAAACTCTCCCAGGAACAGCCTTTGGCTGCAGAGAATCAAGTCCAAAACGTGGCCAACAAAAGCTTTAACTATAAGTCCAATCAAGGCAAGATGAGGTAATTACTCCAGCAGGGCAAGATAAGTTCCAGAAGTGAAGGAACGGCAGTAAATCAACCCAGTTGAGAGGATGCCAAGAACGCAGATAACCACAGTCAAAAGATAAACTCACGGCTGTTCCAGCAAACGCCACTCTCAGCTGCCTCTCCTTTAAACTCTCTTCCCAGGTATGCCTAATGAAGGGAATCAGGGCCCTTTCCTCCCCCGTAAGCCACGTAGGTTCTTCCCTGCGTGCCCTAGGATGAAGAGGGGGTGGGCCTGGGTCTTCCTCTGAATTCCCTCTCCCTTGTTCTACCTCTCGCCTGCTCTGCCCAGCCGGACTTTGCCCTTCCCCAGTTTCCTCCACAGCCAACGGAGCCACTCTCCCGCTCCCTGACAGCTGTTCATCTTCCTCATCAGATTCAGACTCCAACAGGGGCATGACATCCAGGGTGATGGAGTATTAAAATTGGGAAGATGACGGGCAGAACATCACAGTACAAACCAAAGGAACACAGTGTGCATTGTGATACTCCATCTACTATGACTCGATGAGCTCATAAATACTGACTTTTGCCACACATCATAGCTTAGGTCAATCAAGATTTTCACATAATACTTTCCATTAAGATAATAAATGAGTAGACTCCATACCACAACAGTACTGGTCAGTTTTGGTGCCTTCTGTGCAAGCCAGACAATTTTGTAAGATGACACACTGCCGGTCTTATCCAGCTACTAGGAGGTGCATGCAATACACCCATAATTCTTGTTCTTTGGAGAATGACAAATTAGGTAAATTAGAATCCCATCTATCTTATAATTCCGCCACTATTCCCTGCCCTCCAACTGTCAGACACAAGAAAATACAGAGTCAGCAAAGACCACTTTTGGCCTCCCTTCCAGCCTGATTGCCTCTGATCAATATGTTTAGCTAAAGAAGAAGAAATTCTGCAAAGGGATTTAGTCTCCCTTAAGTTTTGAATCTAAAGGAGATTATGAAACAAAACGAGAGTTGAAAATTCTTTGCACAATAGTCTAAAAGTTTATTCACACCTGGAAAGGATTCACGTTTATTTTGAGGGACTGGTGTGTGTGTGTGTGTGTGTGTGTGTGTGTGTGTGTGTGATTGTCCTTATGACCTCACAGAATTGATCAGGGATTCTTTTTCCAGGTTGGCATGGAGGGCCTTTGGGGAGGGGTGTGTGTGTGTGTATGTGTGAGATGTGGGGGCTGTTTTAGATGCATATCCTTTCTGAAAGCTTGCCTTGCCTTATTTGCACTGTTTTTCATTAAGAAGCCATGAAGGCAGGGGTGGGACTACTGGGGGTTCGCCGGGGTTCAGGAGAAGCCCTGGCTAAGGTTCTGTGCAGTTCAAAGAACCCCCCCAATCCCACTCCTGGCTGGCCCTGGCCACCCCTTCCCTCCTCCCTCCCCTCCCAGGAGTCACCACACAGCCCGTTTTGGATGCAGGTAAGTACAAGTCATTCATGGAGGCTCAGGAAGAGTGAAAAACGGGCCTCCTGGAAGTTCGGGAAGGCTAGAAATGGGCCCGTTTCTGGCTTCCAGAGAACCTCCAGAACCCGGGGAGGCAGTTTCGCCCTCCCGGAGGTTCGAGGAAAGCCTACAAGATCCCAGTTGTACAAGCTATGGGATATTTTCTGTGGCTTTCCAGGCAAGCAAAAGTTGGACTTTTAACAAAGAAAGATGCGAAGAGCATCGAAGCTTTTCAACTTTGGTGTTGGAGAAGACTGTCACCCAGTTCTTCCCAAGAATACCCAGGAGGCATTCTTGCAAATAATTTTATTCCTTGAAATGAACGTACACTCATCTTGGCCCATGCCACCACAAAAGAGAAAAAAAAACTCCAGATAGCTGCATTCTGGTTTGTTTATGGATTTGAGAAGACGGACCCGGAAACTCTGCATTCGTATTTCTCATTCACTTCTACTTCAAACTTTAAAAGACATTAATGAGATTGTTGTGTCATCCTCAACCCACGGAAGGTGACAGGACATACTGCTCTAGCCGTGAAACTGGTTCAATATATATTGGACTTCAACATTACCGGTTATTTATAAACTGTGCCACAGAATTAGATGGCATAGTCTTTGTTTTAATAATGATAACAATGGCAATAACAATGCTAGAAAACTAAACAATGATTTTTAAAAAGCTGGGCTTGGAATAAAACACTGTTTTTCAAGCTTGGCCATTTTTAAGATGTGTGGACTTCATTTCCCAGAATTCTGGGAGCTGAAGTCCATACATCTTAAAGTTGCTAAGAGCAGGCTGAATTGAAGGAGGAGTTAAATGTGTCATATGTTTGGAGTCACTGCATTGCCACAAGATACCCAAATCGAACTCCCTCCCTCATGAATTCCATTGACCCTTATCTAACACCAACTTTGTTTGACCATTAGTTGAATAGATTCTTGTAAATAGATAACTATTCTGTGCTTTGAACTCAACAAATCCTCCTGGTTATTTGCAACTGACAGATACAATTTAATAGTTAATTCCCCTTGTCCACCATAAACAGGCAGCAATGCCTTTTCCAAAATGACACATGAGATCCGTGAATCTATAACCCTGATAAAAGTATGCTTTGAATTCACAATGATTATCTCCTTGCAACCTGCTTTAATCAGTGAATAGTATCTGGATGAGACACACACACACACACACCCAATGCTTTTATACTGCTCTAGTATAAATACAGCCTGATTTGTCTGCCTTCCCTCCCAGCCCCCCATCTTCCCTTGTGGATCAACCCATCTGTTTGCAAAACAGAGCAGTTTGTGTCAACTTGTGCTATGTGAGCACTGCATATCAAACAGAGCTTTGTCTTTACTTGCAAAACCTGTGCATGCCATAAAAGAGAAATGCCCCAGCGAGAGAAGGGAGGAAAAACCCCACACACAGCCTGAACACCTGGAGAGGCCAAACCTTCATTTATTTATAACACAGAAAGTCTCCCAGTGGTCTCCCAGTATCGTGCCAAATCTGATCTGCAATGTCAGCACTGGAATAAGTTGCTGGGGGTGGGATGGGGAGGGAAGGAGAGTTAATTTGAAAGGAACATGGAAGCATTTACAACCTGCGATCTTCTCCTGAATTCTAAACTCTATCCCAAGGAGCAATTGCTGCTGGAAAGGTGATGGATGGAAAGCTGTTGGTGGACCGATGGCTCGAGAAGGGCAAGTTCTGGGTGTGATTAGAGAGGTAATTACCTGTGAAAGGTGTCCGACTTCCAGGTAGAAACAGATGATGAATGCATTCCAGCCAACCCAGACAATGAGCCACACAGCATACTAGTGAGGGAGAGAAAGAGGCAGTTTGAAGACGTACGGTGGGAAAAACTATTAAAGCAACTGGAGGTACATGCCTGTTTTCCATCGTTCTTACCCTAAACACATCCAGCTGCAGAAATACAATACACGTTGAAGGCTTAAAGTTAAGAATTTGAAGGAAGATTCCTAAAACATGTGGACCTTCTTAATCATTAAAGCCTAACTGCCAAAATCAGAGTGGGTTTGGGCATTACACTAAGCCATGATTTGCTTTACTATTCTATTTATTAAATTTATTTGCCACCACAAGGCAACTCTGGGCAGCTTTATTATGAACACAATATTGCAACATCCCCAGTCATTCTGCACTCTCTGTTGTGGTTATGGATACTAATGGCCCACGTTAAGTTCCTACCTAATACCTAGTTGGTATTACAACTAGTCATCAAATCACTCTGGACTGTTTTCTTGAGAGGGCTGTAAAAACACACTGTTTATCCAGGTTTTGAATGTGAATTATGTTAACTTTTATTAGAGCACTGGTGTGGCTAGTGGTGATGACGCTCGCCTCCCACTTGGATGGTTGAAAGTTCAGCCAATGTTGGGACGCAAAGAAAAAACATCTGCTGCGAACTCTGTAAAGGCATCAGGAAGAGCACCTGGCCAGTAAATGCTCAGCTCCAATTGCCCCGACTCTACTCCAAATAGGGACTAAAGGTAAAAGTTTCCCTATCAGTCATGTCCGATTCTAGGATATGGTCCTCATCTCCATTTCCTAGTCGAGGAAGCCATCATTGTCTGAAGACAATTTCCGTGATCATGTGGCCAGCATGGCTATACACCAAAGGCACATGGAATGCTGTTACCTTCCCACCAAAGTGGTACCTATTAACTACCCTGCATTTGCATGCTTTGCAACTGCTAGGTGGGTAGGAGCTGGAGCAAGTAATGGGAGCTCACCCACTGCACTGAGTTTGGGTCTCAAACCCAGGCTGTCAGCTCTCCAGCTTAGCATCTTTAACCGCTGGGCCATTGACTACAGACTCGTAAAAAGGGACTGAAATGTATCTGATTGGAAGTCTAGTTTTATGCATTCATGGTGCTAAGAAACTGGCAGCATAAATACAACAGAAAATGAAACAAATGTTAAAAAGTTATGATATTTATGTAGTTACTTACCAGGCACATCTAAATTAAAGTAATGAAAATATATTTACAATCCCCAAGCCAGGTCACATTGAGAACCCTTAATGTTTGGAAATAGAAAGCTGAAAAATTTGACACGCCCTAATTTACACAAAGCAGCAATCCAACATATTTCACTATTTTGAAAAAAGAAGCAAAAAAACAAACAAGCCACAGAACAGGATGTTATACTTACCAGCATGAGGTATCTGGATCTGTACTGAAGGGTGCCAAAAATACCCAGAATGACGGCCATAATGTGTAAAAAATTGGCCAGGATCGGCAACCATTGATAACCCAGGAAGTCAAATATCTGTCTCTCCAGGGCTGCAACCTACAAGAGACCATAAAGGCAGACAAAGAATTCTTCATTGCACGGTGTTACACAGAATAAGAAAGCAGCAAAGTCTACCACAGAATTAATAAGAAACCCTATGGGCTATTAGTCACAACCAACAGAGATGTTGGCATGATTCATTGGCTGCTGTCCAAGAAATATATTCCAAAGCAGGGGGATTTACGGGGGATCCATCACAAGGCAAAGAAAAGGGTGTTTTCACTGGCAAATGGCACCAGTGGAAATGACCACAAATGGACCGATGCTTCAATTGCCAAGAGCAGCAAAAGAAGACAATTGTTCCCAGAGTGGTAAACCTGGGTAAGTCCCCAGGAGCTTGTTCCTTTGAATCCAAGAGTCTGTAGAGATTCTCAGTCATTCAGGTCATGGTTGACCCAAAGGTGCTTTTTCAGGAGGCAACTGGAATTTCTTGTTTCTTCTTTTGAAGATGTTTCGCTTCTCATCCAGGAAGCTTCTTCAGCTCTAACAGGATAGTGGGGAATAGAAGGATTTATATTCCTTGTAGACAGCTGGTCATTTGCATCCTTTTAGAGGGTGGTTGAAGCATATGGAGGGATAGCTGTGTCCTCAGGGTCACCTACAGTAACCAGGAGCCCTACTCAGGTGACCCTGAGGACACAGGTAAACCTCCAAGTGTTTCAACGACCCTCTAAAACTCGTGTCATCACGGCATCATCACGTGACGTATCTTGACTTTTTTCCCCCTTCGCTAAACCAGGCGTGGGCATGGCCAGCATGTGATGCATCAGCCTGCAGGCCGCGAGTTTGACTCTCCTGTTCTAAAAGGATGCAAATGACCAGCTGTCTGCAAGGAATATAAATCCTTCCATCCCCCATCATCCAGTCAGAGCTGAAGAAGCTTCTTGGATGAGAAGCGAAAAGTCTTCAAAAAAAAACACCAAGAAAGTCCAGTTGCTTTTTGAATCCAAGACTTATTTTAGGAACATCAGAAGCTTCTCAGGATGGGTGTCATTTGTTGGCAACCTCTTTCCATGGTTCTAAACCGCTGTTTTTCTGACCCTATTTAGAAAAGCATGAACTGTGTGTGGTGGCTCTCATCCTTTAAGCCAGGAGTCCCCAATCCCCAACTCCTGGGTCATGGACCGGTGCCAGTCCATGGCCTGTTGGAAATGGGCCTCACAGCTAGAGATGAGTGGCAGGTGAGGAAAACTGCACATGTGCAGGATCTAGGTTGCATGCTCCTCCTCCCCAACCTCCTCCTCCCCAATCCATGGAAAAAATATCTTCCATGAAACAGGATGGAGACCGCTGCTTTAAGTCATAGCAATCTTCAGCTGAATTGACAACGCAAGGATTTTATGGCAAGCTATAAATTTCAGAAGGAGATGGGAAGGTTATGATTTTCTGAACAAAGAAGGGGGGGTCTACATCAATGTTTCTCAACATTTGCAACTGGAGGATTCTTGGGAGTTGAAATCCACATATCTTAAAGCTGCTAAGGTTGAGAAATGTTGTTCTAGATCAGGGGTCTTCAAACTTGACAGCTTGAAGACTTGTGGACTTCAACTCCCAGAATTCCTCCTCCAGTCATGTTAGCTCAGGAATTATGGGAGTTGAAGTCCACAAGTCTTAAACTTGCCAAGCTTGAAGACCCTTGGTCTAGATGGACTTCATTGGCAACCTTCCCATCAAGATAAATTAACTAAAATTCTCATCAGTGGAGCATAGACTTCCTGTGCCTACACGGTGACCAAAGGATGTGCATGAATACCTTTAACCAAACAATCATCTCTAGAGTGCTCTGCTTCACACGTTTTAAACTCTGAACCTAAGGGGATTCTTTTCACAGATGTTCTCAAACTGAGAAGGGTAAGCAGCCAAAACTATAAGGCAAACCAGTCTTACTGCCATTCATACCCTCTGCCACTCCCAACAATCAAGCCAGTTCAAAAACAGGAAAAAAATGAAAAGAAATCCCCAAGTAGCCTGAAAATAAGTTTGTGGCCAAACAAAACCACTTTTGCTGAAAGCAAGCGCCTGAGACTTTCAAGGTGAAGTTTGGGCCAGCAGCACCATCCATCAAAGCAGTATTTCCTAGGGTGGAGGGTGTATGTCAGAAATCAGATGCGACAGAAATCAGTGGTGGGATTCAAAAAAAATTAATATCAGTTCTGTGGGCATGGCTTGGCGGGCGTGGCAGGATAAGGATATTGTAAAAATCTCAATTCCCTCCCCACTCCTGTGTTCTGACCCAAACCTGGTTCCAAGAGAGCAAACATAAGACAAAGGCAGCAGCACAACCTTTTAATGTTTCATCTATGAATCCTGTTTCTTCACAGACAAAAGGCTGCTTACGACTAATTAGCTCTGAAAGAAAGAGCCTTGCCAAGTTTTTGCAAGGCTGCCAAAAAATAACAGATAAGAAATAGTTTACAACACAATGGTCTTCAAATGCCAACTGCCACGAGGCTGAGTTTCAAAACAACTTTGCTTCCTACAAAGAACGTTCACTTCACAGCTGGCTTTTATCTTCTTGCAGGAGGGGCCATTACCTTGCAGCCTTACTCCCAAGTCGCCCATACTGTTGTAGCTGCTCTTTCCTGCAAGCAATCCTGCGTGCACACACACTTGGCACAGGCTCCTCGGGAACCTCCTCATCGCTGCTGCCAACCCCCATAATCTCTGAAGGCAGCAGTCCACTCCCTAATGGTCCAGACCCCTCATTTGAGTCCTTGCTCTCCTCAGCCATCCGCACCTGCTGCCGGCTAACCACAACATCCTGAGGGAAGGTGACCCAGCCGATCAGCTGGGACTCAGGAGGCAGAGAAAAGATGGGGGTGGGGCCAGTCAGAAGTGTTTGCCGGTTCTCCGAACTACTCAAAGGTTCCGCTACTGGTTCTCCAGAACTGGTCAGAACCTGCTGAATACCACCTCTGGGCGGAAATAAACCTCAAGTTGAACATCAGAGAAAGAACATCTTGACGGAAGAGGGATACCCCTAGCCTACATTATTGGGGAGAGGTTGCTAGTTGTCTCCAGAGTTTTCATTAGAAATTGAAAACAAGGCAGAATCCTTGAATCCAGGCCAACATTTCACTGCAAGCCTCTGAAATTAACCACACCTGTCAGTGGGGATCTCCTCTCTTCCCTTCCCTACATCTCTCGTTTAAGCCTGACAACCCCCATAAATCATTTTTGCAGGTGACTTCGCCTTCTAGATTAGGCTAATTGGGTTCTTAACAGCCCTACTGAACTCAGGCCACCGAGTCCTTTGAAGTACAGAGTCAGTGTGTTTCCTTGGTGGACTTTCCATTTCCCTGAGATGAGATCAGCCATGAATCATGTAGTCCACCTCTGGGGACTAGGGTTTAAAAAAAGGCTGGCAATTAATCTCTGACACCATTAAAATGGTCTGCCATAATACAGCTTTTCACAACTGTTGCTATTGCGAGTACAGCTCCCATCGTAGGTGGCTCTGTGGGGACTGGGCCTAGTGAGAGTTAAGAGTCCAACCCATCTGCTAAACTGCAGTTTCAGCACATCTGAAGGAGGCTCCAGAATAGTGAACATGGTCAGATTAATCATAATGAAATGCTATGCCAGTTCCAAGCCGGGACCTGCTTCTGCTTACAGTAACGGAAAATAATAATTACTATACGCCGTATTACAGATATAGAATTGGAAGGGACCTTGTAGGTCATCTAGTCTCACCCTCCCCTGCCCAAGCAGAAGACCCTATACCATTTTTGACAATGGCAGTCCAGTCTCTTCTTGAAAGGTTCCAGGGATGAAGCTCCCACAACTTTTGAAGGCAAGCCATTCCATTGGTGGATTGTTCTCACTGTCAGAACATTTCTCCTTATTCCCAGGTTGAATCTCTCCTTGTTCAGTTTCCATCCATTATTGGAAATGTATTAGCAGAGTTGTAAGATATGCAGCATTGGGTACAAGTCTCATCCCACTGAGATTGGTCCGCCCCATCCGTGCCAGCAGAGGAGGCATGCTGAGGGCCCCATTGGCCAGGGTATTCCAGCTGGCATGGTCCAGAAGAGCCTCAGCTCCCACCTTCCTGAACTTTCGTAAGAGCTTAAAGATGTGGTTCTGGCCTGGAGCTTCAATGGGGAAATTTCACATTGGGGATGGTTGATAGCAACAGCACTAAGACTTATATACTGCTTCACGGTGCTTTACAGCCCTCTCTAAGTGGTTTACAGAGTCAGCATATTGCCCCCAATAACAATCTGGGTCATTTGACCCACCTCGGAAGGATGGAAGGCTGAGTCAACCTTGAGCCTGGTGAGATTCGAACCGCCAAATTGCAGGCAGACTGCAGTCAGCAGAAGTAGCTTGCAGTACTGTATTCTAACCATTGCACCACCTCCGTTAATAACAGATTCCATCTCCCCCCATTTCTTATCCTACTCCATCCTTCCCCATCTTTTAATTAGGGTTGAGTATTTTTATTTTATAATATTGTTTATAGTGTTGTATAGTGTTAACTTTTTAATATCCATTGTTAAGCTACTCAGAGTTACTCCACTGTTAAGATGGGCAGCCAATAAATGTAAAAAATAAATTAAAATGGGAATGTGAGATTCAGAAAGTAATAAAATGTTAGCAACTCCAGATAACAGTTGGCTTCCTTGTCAACTCTGCAGCAGAGAGTACAAGCAACTGCATAGCTTGATTTTTCATTGCTTGAAAACTGGCAGTTGCACATATAAATACAATCTGGTGAGATATACTATCAGAACAAGGCGGTGTTTCTAAGGTGCTATCTCTGGTGAGCTGGATCTAAAGATTTCCTTTCTCTAACAAGAAACTTTGTCTCATTGAAGGATCTCCATTTAACCCACCAGTCTGTTTAATGGGTTAATAGGGCTTCTCTTGATTTTGGTTCAGTATGAAATGCAAACCTAATTATTACGGCTTGCTTGTTGAATTCGTAGTTTAAAGCATCCTGCCTTAGGGATGATTGAAGAGCTGCTTTTGCTCTTATTGCTGGGGGATGATGG